TGCAGTTACTTAGGACAAAAAGCCATGTTTTCTCACTAGTTTTCGAGTATTTTTGTGTAAAACACGCAGAAATGTCGTGGAAATTTACATGATCTACATCTTGTCTGGATACTTTTGGCAGGTGAGTGTAATAAAAATAAGAATAATGAAAATAAGAATAGATAATAAAAATAAAAATAAAAAAAAATAAAAATAAAAATAGAAATAAAATTTAATTTGACCCGAAATTAAAGGATTCGGCCAAATTATCTTCGTCATCGTTTAATTCTGGTAACACTATTATTATTATTATTATTATTATTATTATTATTATTATTATTATTATTATTATACCTTTTTTTATATCATATAGATCAAATTTGGTTAAATGTCACCAGGAAAAAAATATAGATTACATCACCAATGATTTTGTATAACATTAGCTATGCTAAAGAAATTGATGTTGGTAACTAACTCTCTTAAATTACAAACACCCTCCCAAGAAAAAACACTGCCAACTATACCACACAAGGATCTCTACAAACTCTTGTGTAGAGGAGTTCAAATCACTTAAAAGTATAGTTAATACTAATACTTAATAGTTAGTGATTGTGTAGCAACTTCCTTACAATAAAGTAAATTTTTCCTACAAAAATAAATTTCTTTGCAAATGTAAAGGGAATGTCAATTGCATTTGATTGAATGCTAACACAGTAAGTGGCTTAACTAATCAGTAATGTATTAGTATATATATTAAAAGAAAATTTGTCCATTCTGTTTGTTCTACTTTTTTTTTAAAAAAAAAATAATTATCAACAAAAAAAAAATAAAATGTAAAGCATAAAATAATAAATATAAAAACATAAGTACTGTAATTGTTGACTTGTTTGAGTATATTCTCTATTACTACTAATGATAGTACATCATGATAAATGTATCAATGAAAATATAACAAATTATAAAAAATAAAACATAAATACTTGATACCAATCAATTATTGCTTTGGGAGGTTGTTGTTGAGAAGAAAAATTGTTTTTGGTAATACAAGATCCAACCCAAGATGTTTGAAATAATTTGCATATTACTTACAGTTCACTCTCTATATAACAGACCATTTAGGAAAAAATATTCACTATAGCAAGTCCATTATAACAAAGTTCATTATAATTTGAAGATCAATTATTGTTTATCAAATATACAGAAGCTTTCTGTATATTTTGTTCTGTATATATTGAAGATCAATTATTTATTTATCAAATATGCAGGACCTTTCTGTATATTTTGTTCTGTATATTGAAGATCAATTATTTATTTATCAAATATGCAGGACCTTTCTGTATATTTTGTTCTATATATATTGAAGATCAATTATTTATTTATCAAATATGCAGGACCTTTCTGTATATTTTGTTCTGTATATATTGAAGATCAATTATTATTTATCAAATACACAGAACCTTTCTGTATATTTTGTTCTGTATATATTGAAGATCAATTATTATTTGGGGCATGCTGCAACAAAACCAGACAAAGTGAACATTGGTATTACCAAGAATTTCAGGGATCAAAATTTAGTAATGTGATTATCAAAATCTTCCATTTGTTATCCTCTTAATATTAGGTGATATATAGAATTACTCCTATATAAAAATAATATGAAACTCATTTACATTAGATCTACCATGGAACCCAAAAATTACAGCACCATTAGAAGTATTCTAAAGAAAGAACAAGGTGAAAAAATTGCTCCTTATACTTTCAGAATAAACAATACTCAGACACTTGATACTTATCTAAAAAAAGAAAGAATTACCTATGATTTATCAGCAAGAAAAATTAAGGATAGAAGATAATGTAAATGAGATAAAGTCTATATCAAATTAATAGAGGGAAATCTGCCACAGCTCATTTTGGGATTTAATTGAGGTGGGAATATAAATAAGATGAGACATGGAAGAGGTATGACTGTATAGAATTACAGACCCTAATAATAAAAACTGAAATCCTTAATAATTACTGGAAACAAATATTATGGAAATTATTGTGTTTATTAGGTTTTGGGTTTTTTTAATTTATTTAATCACTTTGGTGTTGCCAATGCTGGTATATAAAACAAAAAAAATTTTTTTATTATTATTGATTTCAGTAGCCAATGTGCATGCATGTAATTTTTTCATTTATTTATTTAACAAGAATAACAGACTTATTTAATAAAAAAAAATTTTAATTAGAATTCACTCATTGACCATATGATTTCTCAGTTTCCTTTTAAGAAAAGCCATTGATTGTACACTGCATTTTTGCTTCTGCTCAAGTTTTGCATTGCAAAACTGTAATCTATCCTTACTGTGGAAAAGACATGGTCAATTAGGATTAATTTCTCCTGATTTGTCCATCTCATCCTTTTCATTGCAATATTACTATTGTTATTATCGTTTATGTTATTGTCATTATTATTATCACTATTACTATTGATATTGATATTATTATCAATGTTATTATTGTAATGAAAATTATCAGTATTATTAGTTTCTTCTATATTAATGTCATCATTGCTAAAATTATTAGAATTATTGTTGTTAATGTTGTGGGTATGATTGTTGTCAATATCATCATTGATTGGTAGATTAGTATTAAGATTATAATCATTGTCATTGGTATTATTGTTGTTAATGTTGTGGGTACGATTGTTGTCAATATCATCATTGATTGGAAGATCAATATTATTAGTATTAAGATTATAATCATTACCAATATCAACAACATGAGCTAAATTATTTTCCTATAATGTAAGATAAATAGGTCGATTCTGTTAAATTCCTAAAAACAATAAAAATAAAATATTCATTCTGTGCTTACAATGGTTTCAACTAAATTTTTCACGCAATGTAATCCATTGATTTTGATATTGTTATTTGATGTTATTGTTTGATCAATTTGATCAATGTTCAAATTAAAATTTAGACTTACTGATGTTTTTATTGAGTTGAAAACTCTCAAATATCTTTCATCCTTAGAAGTTATTGGTATATATTTTATAATCAAAAAAAATAAACTTGTTAATAATAAGACAATTAGTCTTATCCACCTAAAGTAACATGATAAACTTACTTGTAATAAAGATGAGGAGGATGAGGAGGGATGACTAGATGTTTAAAATAAATATTGTTTACTATTACATAGGCAACCCCGTTAAACCAAAGGCAATTGTGCAGGGACTTTTCTTCGGATTAACAGGGTTTTTTATA